ACCTTGCTCTGTGGAAGTTGGGGGGACACTGGTGGTGGAGTTTGATGTAATGGGGAGGACAGTCCCCATAACCCCCATCTTTGAGACATGCATTTGGGAAGGTGGGCATCAGGCGGCACCTGAGGTGGTCTCAGTGCTGCCCACCAGGGTGTGCCGGCCGAGAGCAGCAGGCGGTGTTATAGATTGGGAGTTGCCTCATCAAGTGGCTGAGGCTGTTTGTCATGTGCTCCACACTGCATAGAAAACTCTGTTTCAACAAATGTCCAGAGTGAATATCCAGGGGAATGTGGGTCATTTGGTTTCACGCAGAGAGGCAGGCAGCTGGCTTGGAGGACACGAGCCTCTCAGAGTTTTGACCCCATGGGGCAGGTGGCAAAGAGGAGGCAGGAACCATCCGAGCATAATCAGAGAAACAGCTCTGTGCATGGGGCCTGAGACCCTCTGCTGTGTCATTTGAGGATGGATGATATTCATTCTAGGGGTGGAGAGATATTGATAAGGAGAGAAATGGGGAGGGAATTTTTAATAGCTTTGTGGAGGTATAATTGATATACAATAAGCTGCACGTATTTAGAGTGTACAATATAAGTTTGACAAATGTAAACCCGTTGTCACAATCAAAATCGTGAACACATCTTTCTCCCTGAAAATGTCCTGGTGTCATTTTGTAATCCCTTCCTCGCGTCCCTACACCATCTCCACAGAACCTGGGGTCTATTTTCTGTCACTTTGTTTGCAGTTTTCAGAATTTCGTATAACTAGCATCATACAGTATGGATATTTTTTGGAGTCTGGATTTTTTTTGGCCGTGTTATTTTGTGATTCATCCATATTGTGTGTGTCAGTAGTTTGTTCCTTTTTATTGCTGAGTAATGCTCTGTCGTGTGAAGATACCACAGCTTGCTCATCCGTGTACTTGTTGGTGAGCATTTGGATTGCTTCCCGTTTAGGCTGTGACACCAAGAGCTGCTGTGAACATTCATGTACAAGTCTCTGAACGTGTGCCTTCTCTTCTCTTGGCGAATGCTTAGGAATAGAATGGCTGTCTCGTATCAAAAATGTTGTCGTCTGCCCAGGCTGCCATAACAAAAATACCATGGACTGGTTAGCTTAAGCAACAGAAATCAATTTCTTATGGTTCTGGAGGCTGGGAAGTCCAAGATCAAGGTGCCAGCAGATTCAGTTCCTGATGAGGGCTCTATTCCTGGTTTGCAGATGGCCACCTTCTTGCTGTTTGCCCATGGCAGAGAGAGAAAGAGGATGAGAGAGAGAGGACACAAGCTCCCTCATGTCTCTTCTTATAAGAGCACTGAGGGCTCCACCCTCATGACCAGATCACCTCCCAGAGGCCCCATCTCCAAATACCATCACATTGAGGGTTAGGATTTCAACATTTGGATCTGGGAGAGGACACATACGTATGTTCTGTTCATTGCCATACATATGTGTAACTTTTTAACTGCCAAACTGTCTTTCAAAGTGTATCATTTTATGTTCCCAACAGCAGCGATTGAGAGTTTAGTTGCTCTACAGCCTCACCAACACTTGATTTGGTCAGTCTTTTTAATTTTAGTCATCTGAATAGGCTCGTAGCAGTATCTTATTGTGGTTTTAATTTGCATTTCCCTAATAACTAATTATGTTTAGTATTTTTTATTTGCTTATTTGCCATCAGTAGTTGTTCTTCTCCTCCTTCCTCCCCTGTTCCCTCACCTCCTTCCTCCCCTCCTTCCTTCCTTCCCCTCCCTCCCTCCCTCCTTTCCTCATCCTCTTCCTCTTCCTCCTCCTCTTTCTTTTTCTTTCTTCTTGATCTTCTTCTTCTTGGATCTTACTTTGTCACTCAGCCTGGAGTGCAGGGGTGTGATCATGGCTCACGGCAGCCTCAACCTCCTGGCCTCAGATGACCCTCCTGCCTTAGCCTCCCAAGTAGCTGGGACTACAGGCACTTGCTACCATGCTCAGCTAATTTTTAATTTGTTTTTTTTTTTTTAGAGACTATGTTGCACAGGCTGGTCTTGAACTCCTGGCCTCAAGTGATCGGCCTGCCTCAGCCTCCCAAAGTGCTGGGATTACACGTATGAGACACCACCTGGCCCAGTATATCTTCTTTAGTGGAGTATCTGTTCAAATATTTTGTTCATTTTTAATTGAGTTTTTTGTTTTCAGATTATTGAGTTTTGAGAGTTCTTTCGTACATTATGGATAAAGGCTTTCATCAGATAGGTGATCTGTATGTGTTTGTTTTCCAGGGTGTGGCCATTTTTTGCATTTTCCTAACATTTTGTCTTTCCAACCCTGGGAGTTTCTTATTTTGTTGAAGTTAATTTATTATTTTGCCCTTGTATCTAAGATTCTTTGCCTGACCTGACATCCCAAAGATTTATCTTACATTTCGTGCAACAGTTTTATAGTTTTGGTCCCTACATTTAGATCTCTCATCCATTCTTTTTTTATTGTTGTTTAAATACGGTATGTGGTACAGACTGAAGCTCTTTTCTGTTTGATTTTAGTATATGAGTATCTCCTTGTTCTAATACCATTTTGAAAAGATTATCTTTTTTGTACTAAATAAGTTACTTTTTTGGGCTTTGCTGAAAATCAGTGGACCTTATATGTATAAGTCTACTTTGGACCTCTATTCTGTTCCATTGATCTGTTTATGCATCTTCACGCCAGTACCACACTGGCTTGATTACTGTAGCTTTATAAGAGGTCTTGGAGTCAGATGATGTTAAGTCTTTCCCTTTGGTTGTTATTTTTGTTTGTTTCATAGTTCTTTTGGCTATTCTAGGTCCTTTATACTTTTCATATGCTTTCTAAAATCATCTTGTCAATTTCTTTCTTTTTTTTTTTTTTTTTAAAGAAAAGCTGGCTGAGATTTTGATTTGAGGTTGTGTTGAATCTGTAGATCAATCTGGGAAGAACTGAAATCTTAACAGCGTTGAGGCTTCTGATTCATGGTTATGGTATATCTCTTTCTTAAGTCTTTAAAAATTTCTCTCAGCGATGTGTGGAAGTTTCTAGTGTACAGGTCTTACATAGCTATTGTCAGATTCTTCCCTATTTCTTGATGCTATTGCAAATGGCATTTAAACCTTTTTGAATTTCTAGATGTTGGTGGTTAGTATATAGAAACACAACTGATTTTGTTTTTTTTTTTTTTTGAGACGGAGTTTTGCTCTTGTTGCCCAGGCTAGAGTGCAATGGCGTGATCTCAGCTCACCGCAACCTCCGCCTCCCAGATTCAAGCGATTCTCCTGCCTCAGCCTCCTGAGTAGCTGGGATTACAGGCGTGCGCCATCACGCCCGGCTAATTTTGTATTTTTAGTAGAGACGGGGTTTCTCCATGTTGGTCAGGCTGGTCTTGAGCTCCCGACCTCAGGTGATCTGCCCACCTCCATCTCCCATAGTGCTGGGATTACAGACATGAGCCACCGTGCCTGGACCACAACTGATTTGTATATATTGTTCCATCCTGCAATCTTGCTAAACTCCTTTATTAGTCCTAACAGCTTTTAGAAAAATCTGTTGAGGCCGGCATACGGTTTTTCTTCATCCATGTGTTATTTTAGCAAATTACACGGACTGACTTTCAAATGGCAAAGCAGCCTTGCAGTCCTGGGATAAACCCAGCTTGTTCATGTGTCTTATCCTTTTTGTTATTGTTAGAATTGATTTGCTAACATTCTGTTAAGAATTTCCACATCTGAGTTCAAGAGAGAACCTCGCTGGTCCCTGGCCACTGATGGTTTGGCTGGATCTGAGCAAGGGGGTCCCTCTCTCCCCATCGGGCAGGCTCATGGCGTACAATGTGGCCACGTAGAACTGCTCCATCAGGACCGGGCGCAGTGGCTCGCACCTATAATCCCAGCACTTTGGGAGGCTGAGGTGGGTGGATCACCTGAGGTCAGGAGTTTGAGACCAGCCTGGCCAACATAGTGAAACCACATCTCTACTAAAAATACAAAAGTTACCCAGGCGTGTTGGTGGGTGCCTGTAATTCCAACTACTTGGGAGGCTGAGGCAGGAGAATGACTTGAACCCAGGAGGAGGAGGTTGCAGTGAGCCAAGATTGCACCACTACCTTCTAACCTGGGCAACAGAGTGAGACTCCATCTCAAAAAAAAAAAAAAAAAAAAAAAAACTGTTCCATTGGGGCTGTGGGTAGTGGTAGTTCCCACACAAAAGGAGACTTTAGACAAGTGGGTACCCCAAAACACATCTCCTATACGTGTGTGGGCCTGGAATGGAAGGGTACCATCTCCCTTCTCCTTACCCTGAATGTCCACCCTGCTCCTGGTGCTGCCATCCCATTGTGTGTTGGCGAGACCCCCCTATTGGGCTGGGATTTGGGGGGACATGTTTGTGCACACCCAGGCCTTTCCCCCTCCTGAGGGACCCAGTGCAGATATGCAGCAAGGGCCTGAAAAATATCCCTGCCTTTTGGTCCATGCATCCCTGTATTCAGACTCTCCTACAGAAATGCTCTGTGATGTGGAAATGGATTTATCCACAAAGATGTTCACTGCAGCATTGTTTATTCACTGGAAAAAGATGGGGCTAGAACTCAAATCTCCAAGAGTAGAGGATTGGCTGAGGAAATGCCATTATGTCCGCTGAATGGAAGATCCCATAGCCATTAAAGGAGTGATTTATGAAGATTGTAGCGACATCACACCTTGTCCTTAAGTGAAAGTAGAAAAATAGGTTATAAAATTCTATATATAGCTGTATGAAAAATTCACTGAAAAGAGGAAGCTGACGTGTAACAAAGGGTAATTGATTTCTGGGCAGTGCTACTCTTTTCCTTTCTCTAGTTTCCAAACTTTCTGGAAGGAATGTCAGTTACTATTGTGATATTTTTAAAATCATAATTAAGAAAGGGAAGAGTAGCGTTTGCTATCTCCAAGGCAGCTGCCCCCTGCTTGGCCAGGCTGAGGGCGAGGGATTCGGTCTCAGCTGCTCGTCCCATCTCAACGCTGACCTCCTCTATCTTTCAGGCTTTGGGAACGATCACTGCAGTGCCTGTCACGGGTCCTCAGGTCAGCTCCTTGCAGAGGTTGGCCGGGCAAGGAGCGGCAGTGCTACCTCAGGTAAGCAGCCCTCGGGCGGGCCCTGGGGTATCCGTCTGTCTGTCCCCGCAGTCTCTGTTCCTAACCCTTCAGCGCTGAGGTTTCTGGTGGGCACTGGGCCAGGCGGAACCCATGGCCTCTCAGCTGCAACTTCCCCTCTCACCTCTTCTATCCGTTCTTCAATGGAGACATTTGGACCAGATATATTTTTTCAGCAAGGAATTGGGAAATCAATTTAGTGGGTCATGACCAGAATTTTTTTTAATGGAATAAATGAGGCCAGACTAAAATAGAATGGAAATATCAAGATGCATCCTATGCCTTGTTTTTTGAGCAACTTGATTACAGACTGGGTGACTACGTCATGTATGTTTTTGACTATGGGTTATGGTCAGGAAGTTTGAGACACTCTGGATGAGGGGATTCATTTCAAGGGCAGCTCAGACTCTGGGCCAGGTGCCCTGGTTTATAGTGCAGGGTTCCCCCGATTGGACTCCACACTTGGCCCCAGTCACCTGACCTCTCGGCCTTCCTGGGCCGAGGCTTCTCACCTGCAGAGGGACTGGTGCCGGCGCCGGCTTCCTCCATCAGTGACTGTGAGGGTTGAGTCAGGAGAAAACATTTGTAACCATGCCTGATACAGAGCAAACGCCAGGTAATTATTAACCTGTTCCCTTGTTACCACAAGCTCAGCTTTGTTGAGCACCTGCTGTATACAGCATACTGGGCCAGGGGCTGCCAGTGTTAAAGACCAAGATGACCCCTGCCTGTCATGGGACTTGGGGCTGGACAGACTCCCCCAGCTCGAGGATGGCGAGAGGTGGCTGCCCTGAGCTCCTCTTCTGTGTGGCAACTTTCCCCAAGTGCCCACTTGAGCTGAATCAGAGTCTAAAGCAGGAGGGGCCAATCTTCTAATCTTTTGGTTTCCCTGGGCCACATTGGAAGAAGAAGAAGAATTGTCTTAGTCCGCACATAAAATATACTAACACTAACAGTAGCTGATGAAATAAAGGGGAAAAAATGTAAAAAAACTCATAATGTTTTAAGAAGGTCTGAATTTGTTGGGCCGCATTCCAAGCCATCCTGGGCCGCGTGTGGCCTATGGTTTGGACGGGCTTGGTCTAGATGGAGGACAGACAAGGAAAAAGATACTGTGAGTCCAGGGTGATCAGGCCTTGCCAGAAAGAGACACGGGTGGCAGGAGCCCTGAAAAGTCTTGCTGTACACCTGGGCGTCAAGGAAGGCTTCCTGGAGGAGGCAGTGCTTGAGCTAGGCCTCAGGGTGAGAGGACATTGCAGGCCGAGGTGGAGTGAGGCCCCAGAGGGAGCCGCCCAGGAGGAGGGTGCAGGGAGAGAAACAGAGGCAGAGGTGGTAGGGAGAGACCAGAGTCTAAGCACTGAGGGAGGGAGGATGGGGCAGTCCTGGAGGTGGAGAGGCCACTGGGACCCCTGGGGACCTTAGAGTCGGGCTTCCCCTGTCAGTGACCTGTGGGCAGCAGGGAGCTATGCGAGGCTTCAGAGCAAGGCAGGCTCCAGGGAGAGGCTGCAAATCAAGGCCAGTGCTGTTTCCCTCTGCCCCACACCCACCCTTCCTCCTGTCTCCCTTCTGCCTCCTGGACCTCGGTCTCCGTGTTTTTTCCTTGCTGTCTCTGCCCCACAAATGTCTGCACCTGCCGCTGGCCTGCTGGCCTCTAGGACAGTCACCTAAGGCCAGAAGGTGTCCAGCGCATGCCGGGTCCGGCTGCCGGCTGCTGCTGTTGCAGGTGGCTCACGGGGAACAGAGTAGGCAGCCTGTGATGGGGCCAGCCTCGCAGGGTGACCGCAGACCTGAGAAAGGAGAGAGGGTGGGGACAGGGTGGACCCGGGGGCTTCCTGGCGGGGGGCTGCACGCAGGCCCGGAGGCACAGGCAGAAAGGCTATAAGCTCCGGGTCCCTCGAAGGTGTTCTCTCTGGGGTGGCTCAGGCCAGATCCTGAGCTCCCAGCTGAGCTTAGTTTCTGTGTGTGGCATCTGTGATTGACGCCAGCTCTCCCATGTCCAGAGTCTGCTTATGTAGGGTGGGCGGCCGGGGTCAACCAGAACAGGTGGGCAAAACCCAGATGACCAGGGAGGAGCCGACAGAATACGGAACAGCCACTGCCACAGCTGAGGTCTTCACTGACCACCATGTGGGCGTCCCTCAGCCCCCACACCAGTCCTCTTCAGAGGCGGAGAACAGCATTTTTCCAACGGGTGACTGTCTCCAGCTGAGGGCTGGCAGGAACGAGGATTCTTTAAAGCCTTTGGTATTAGAGTTTGTGTTGGGCTGTAAGCCTGGCATGGGGGGACAAAGGCCCTGACCTCTGGTGCCAAGGACAGAGTGGCAGGCTTACCTGAACCCAGGCTGGTCACATCGCCTCCCTGTGGTATGGCCAGGGCCCTGATGTGGGAGGCTGGGCTCCTTTTGCTGAGGACCCAGCATGGCAGGGGACACAGAGGTTACTAGACTCAAGGGCCAGCTCTGTGCCAGGCACTGGCAAGGAGCTGACAGACATGATGCCATCCAACCGAAGAGCATGCTGTGCTTTGGTGACCTGCCCAAGGCTACAGGGCCCTGTAGGAGCCACCCTGGACCACTCTGTCCACATGCACCACTGGACACAGGGTGGGAGGAGACGGGCGGGGCAACACAGCACTCTGTGCCCTTCACCGATGCCAGACAGGCCCTAATGATAACGACTGTAGCATCCTTATTACCCGTGAGTCTCCACTGCACACGTCAGTTTGCTTATCTGTAGAATAGGCCAGGACGGCCACCCTGCAGTGCGAACGCAGCGGGGCTCAGATGAGAAAGCAGGTCGTGCCCCTTCTCCTCGTCCCCTTGTCTCTCGGGGCATGATACTGGCCTGGACCTCCCAGGGTGGGCATGTCCTCATGTGGGGCATGGGCGCTCCTGGTTCCATGCATGTGGCCAGTGGTGGTGGCTCTGATGGGAATTGCCACCATCAGAAACACAGCTGGGTATGGGGGCGCTGGCGACAGCCCCCAGTCAGGTACACCCAGCACTTCCTGTGCGTTTTCTTTCTTCCAACCCCCATTAAGTCTCATCACCTCATGCAGATGAGGGACCTGGTCCAGTTCAGGGGTGTCACTAGGACCCCAGAGGAGCCAGGATTGGGCCCAAACAGTCTGTCCAGAGCCCTGGCCTGAACCACCCGGTGGCTGCCCGGCTGCCCTCTGCTCACCTTCACTGTCATTTGAGTCCCGCAGCAGTCACGCGGGCTCCGCTCTGGTTTTCATGGGAGCACAGCAGCAGCCCCCACCCAGATTGAGAAACAGAACTGGGCAAGGCCCAGGAGCCCTCGCAGCCCCTCTCTGTCCCTGCCGAGGGGCAGCGCTTTCCAGACTTCCAAAGCCAAAGAGGGCTTTGCCGCTTGGGACTCAATCTGCAGGGCGTCACACGGCACAGACTGTCCCCTCCCGTCCAGGCGCTGCCTTCCATCCTCCCCACTGCTCCTCACCATCTTCTCTGAGTGTAGCTGGGAGGGCCTTGGGTGCAGAGCAGCCCCTCCTGAGCCCCCTGGCCAGTTGGTGCAGGCTCAGGAGGTGGGAGGCGTTGGGGTCCAGGTCTCACCCTCTGTGAGGCCGAGACGGGCTCTGTGCTCTTTCCGATGCTGCCCCCACCCCCTTGAATATAGGAAGTCTCTGAGCCAGGGCGGCCCCTCCCCTGTGCTCCTGTGTGTCTGCCTGTCTGACCACACACCTGTCCCTTCTTCCCAGGTTAGGCCAAAGACTCTGATTCCAGACAGCCTCCCCGTTGCCCCGGGCCGGGACCGGCCACCCAAGCAGCCCCCAACATTCCAGAAGGCCACTGTGGTCAGCGTCAAGAACCCCAGCCCAGCCCTCCCCACCGCCAACAACACTGTCAGCCATGTGCCAGTGCCCGGCAGCCAGCCCCAGGCCCTTGCCGAGCCCGCCGCCCTTGCCTCTCCGCTGAGCAGTGCCGGGGTGGCCTACGCCATCATCTCCACCTCCCCCAGCAATGCCGCTGCCATGGCCCCCAGCACCGCCGTGTCTGTGGTCAGCGACAGCATCAAAGTCCAGCCCCTCCTCATCAGTGCTGACAACAAGGTAAGTGCCCACCAGCAGGCTCCGGAAGGGTGCACGGCTGCATACAGGAGGGAAATCTTATGGGAAGGGCCAAATGAACAAGCCCAGGCAGAATGAATGACCAGAAGGCAGAATGATCAAGTGGCCAAATGAATGAATGGGGCAGAAACAGAGGAGCGAATGAATGAATGGAGTGTGATTAAGGGAGTGAATCAGTGCCTGAACAAATGAATGAATATGCGATCCAGAGACAATGTGGCTGAATGAATTAATACCAGTGGAAAAGGAGTGATTGACCAATGAATGAATTCATTCAAATGATTAACCAATTAATGACGTGTGGCTGAATGAGTGACTGGAAGAGATACCGATTCTCCGTCTCTGCTGGTGGAGTTGGACGGTCAAGGGCTGTTTTTACCCCACTGCCCAAATGTACAATCTCCCATAATTTTTGTCAAGTTTTAAAACTAAAACTAAGGTCCTCCCGCTGCTCCCCTCTGAGCTTCTGGTGGTTGTGCTGTTTGAGGCCTTCAGGGCTGCCTCATCCCTGCCGTCCCCTGTCTGTGGCCTCTCTCTCTGTTCCCCATTTGGGGTCTTCCAGGCCGCCCCTCTCTTGCTTCCGGCTGGAGTGGCTTCTGCTTCCCCGGCCTGGATGACGGCCGACCCTCGTGTGACCTGGTGCTGTTGCACCCAGTGCATTCCCGGGAGTCCCGTGCTTCCAGGCTCTCCCGCCCACTGAGGGCCCCTCAGAGAATTTGCAGTCTGAAGAGTTGTCATGGGCCATGGCGGGATGGCAGGTGTATCCTAGGAGGGCACCTGATCCAGACAAGGTGCTTAGCAGATGTCGGAAGGAGCGTGTCCGTTTCACTGCAACTGCACCAGCATTTGATGTTGGCCATTTAAACACTTCTTTGTCCATTTACTAGGCACACACAGATTGAAAGTTGAATTCCCTTGATTACTGTTAAGCTTGAATGTTTTTCCTACACTTAAGAATTCTATCTTCTGGTGGCTGACTTGAGAATGTTCTTTGTCCTTTTTCCTATTGGAGATCTTAATGTTTTTCTTCCCATGAATATAAAAAGGGACATTTTTTTTTTCCATACAGAGATTTGGGGGTTTTAAAAATGTGATACAAAGAGGAAGACAGCGCTTCCCTTAAGCCAGCAGAAAAATGGAACATACTTTCTCTTTGTGCTCAGAAGCCTCAGATTCATCAGACAGTCACCACCTGTGCTTAGGGGAAAACAAACCAAAAAAACACCCAAGTTCATGTCATTCCTAGTTTAAACCAGACTGTGACTGATGGATCCTGGAGAATTCCTCTTGTTGGAGCCATGAAAACTAACAATTCTTTCCCAATTTCCTATCCAAAAAAAAAAAATGGTGGCGCTAGAGATGCAGTGGATCCTGGCCCAGGGAGAGGCTGGGCCGGATGGGTGGATTTCAAGCTGATTTTCAGCATCACACCCTTTCATCAAACCCGAGCATCCCCTGAGCCCCGAGGAAGGCTGGCTAAGGGGGGCTGGTGCAGGGTGGCATCTGAAGACCCCCTTCCCCTTCCCCATCCACCACATAAGGGGCCTCATGGCAGTGAAAAAACTAGAACGTTATTCCCACCTGTGTCCCGAAGCCAGGCTTGTGTGTCTCAGGCACTGTGGCGTGGGGAGGGCGAAACGGAGCCAGGCCGACCTGAGGGGTTCCCAGCCCCTCTGCCTCCTGACTAGATGGCCTCAGGCCAGGAGCAAGTCTGAGCTCTCGTGGCCTCGGTTCATCTGCACCTGAGATGGGATGAGAAGTCCTCGCTGCCGGAGTGTGCGCGGCCTCCCTGGGGAGAGGTGTGGCTGGTTTTCACTGATGATCAACCTAACTCTCAGAAGCAGTGACTCCCCTGAGGCCACACAGCTGGGACGCGGTGGGGCAGGACTGGAACCCAGGCCTTCCCGGTTCCTAAACCAGGCCGGCTTCTCGTGCAGACCCTCCCCATGGTGGAAAAGGTGTGTCAGGCGGGGCAGGTGCTGGACACACAGGGTGCAAACCACTCAGTTCCCGGGGATCCTCCCTCCTAGGATGGCCCGGCCCAGGCTCTGTGCTCCCCAACCCCTGCTCTGTGCTCTATCAGCTACCTCCCCAGCCCCCTTCACTCTTCCATTCCTCCCCGTGCCCCTCACCCTCACTCTCCAGCCTCCTCCACCCCTCCTTTCTTCCCCTCACCCCTCCCTCCCCATCACTGTCCCCTCTGCCTCTCCTCTCTCTCCCTCACCCCTCCCTCCCCATCACTATCCCCTCTGCCTCTCCTCTCTCTCCCTCACCCCTCCCTCCCCATCACTGTCCCCTTCACCCCTCCATGGCTTCTTCCAGGTCATCATCATTCAGCCTCAAGTGCAGACGCAGCCCGAGAGCACGGCAGAGTCGCGGCCGCCCACAGAGGAGCCATCTCAGGGAGCTCAGGCCACCAAAAAGAAGAAGGAAGACCGGCCCCCGACCCAGGAGAACCCCGAGGTAGGACAGCCCTCTCCGGAGGGCCCAGGCCCTGCTCAGCCTGCAGGTGTCACCTGAGGCCGCTGTGTGTAGCGGGGATGGCCTCACTATGGGGTGGTGCCGACAAGCCGCGGGCACAGCTGCCCTGTGCAGTGGGCAACCAGGATGGGGCCTCGCCCAGCAAGCCCAGGTGTCAACTGTTCTATCTCAGGGAGGCACTGACTAAACGGCAGTGTGGGGCGGTAGTTAGCACAGATTTTAGAACCATTCTGCGTGAATCCTGCACTGCCGGTTTCCAACGGTGTGACTGTGAGCAGCTCGTGTCTGTTTGCTCATGTGTACGGCGGGAATGGCAGGGCCTCCTTCCTCCCAGGGCTGCTGAGAGGACTCTGCGAGTTCATGTTTGCTGAGCCCCTGGACAGCACCTGGTGGGGACTTTTGGTCATTACACCCCCTCCCAGGGGCCCCAGCTGTGGGCCCCTCCGTCCTGAGTCCAGGAGGGAAAGGGGCTCCTCTGGGCAGCACATAGCCCCAAAGCAGTCCCTGCCTCTTCTCTACCACGGCCAGTCCTTGGTGTGTGCAGGACCCTGGGCACTGTAGAAGTAGCTGTGCCCCAGGCTGGCATGAGAGGTGCAGATGTCTCTGGAAGGTACCTGGAATCTTGCCAGAAATTGCCTGTATCTCCCCCTCCCACACACACCTTCTGAAGGAGGCCAGATAAATAAGCTCATACTGAACCATCCAAATACATAGTGGACGCACAACCCCTGCACTGATGGTGGCACGGGGACAGCAGCTGACTCAGGGCCATTCTTTGCTGAACTGGTGGTGGCAGCAGGTGTACTGCAGCTTGGTCCTCGACATCCTAGGCCAGCACCAGCACCACATCCTCAACTCTGGGTCTTTTCCATTCAACCCTTCCCACCCAGGTTCCTTTTCTTTTCTTCCTTTCTGTCTTTTTTTTTTTCTTTTCTTTTTTTGAGATAGAGTCTCACTCTTTGACTCATGCTGGAGTGCATTGGCAGCATCATAACTCACTGCGGCCTCAGCCTCCCAGGCTCAAGTGATCCTCCCACCTTAGCCTCCCAAGTAGCTGGGACCACAGGTGGGCACCACCACTCCTGGCTAATTTTTTTTTTTTTTTTTTTTTTTTTTGAGATGGAATCTCGCTCTGTCATCCAGGCTGGAGTGCAGTGGCCGGATCTCAGCTCACTGCAAGCTCCACCTCCTGGGTTTATGCCATTCTCCTGCCTCAGCCTCCCAAGTAGCTGGGACTACAGGTGCCTGCCACCTCGCCCGGCTAGTTTTTTGTATTTTTTTAGTAGAGACGGGGTTCACCATGTTATCCAGGGTGGCCTCAATCTCCTGACCTTGTGATCCACCTGTCTCGGCCTCCCAAAGTGCTGGGATTACAGGCTTGAGCCACCGTGCCCGGCCCTGGCTAATTTTTTAATGTTTTGTAGAGACAGGGTGTATTAGTCCGTTTTCATGCTGCTGATAAAGACATACCCAAGACTGAGCAACTTACAAAGGAAAAAGGTTTAATGGGGAACTCACAGTTCCACATGGCTGGGGAGCCCTCACAATCATGGCGGAAGACAAGGAGGAGCAAGTCACATCTTACATGGATGGCAGTAGGCAAAAAGAGAGCTTGTGTAGGGAAGCTCCCGTTTTTTAAACACATCAGATCTTGTGAGGCCTATTCACTATCACAAGAACAGCATGGGAAGGACCCGCCCCATGATTCAGTTACTTCCCACCAGGTCCCGCCTACAACATGTGAGAATTCCAGATGAGATTTGGGTGGGGACACAGCCAAACCCCCATATCATTTTGCCCCTGGCTCCTCCCACATCTCATGTCTTTGTATTTCAAAACCAATCATGCCTTCCCAACAGTCCCTCAAAGTCTTAACTCATTTCAACATTAACCTCAAAAGTCCATAATCCAAAGTCTCATCTAAGACAAGACAAGTCCCTTCTACCTATGAGCCTGTAAAATCAAAAGCAAGTTAGTTACTTCCTAGATACAATGAGGGTACAGACACTGGGTAAATACAGCCATTCCAAATGGGAGAAATTGGTGAAAACAAAGGGGCTACAGGCCCCATGAGAGTCCGAAATCTGGTGGGCCAGTTCAACCTTAAAGCTCCAAAATTATCTCCTTTGACTCCATGTCTCACATCCAGGTCATGCTGATTCAAGAGGTGGGCTCCCACAGCCTTGAACAGCTCTGCTGCTGTGGCTTTGCAAGGTACAGCCTCCCTCCTGGCTGCTTTCACTGGCTAGCTTTGAGTGTCTGCAGCTTTTCTAGGTACATAGTACAAGCTGTTGGTGGATCTACCATTCTGGTGTCCAGAGGACAGTGACACTCTTCTCACAGCTCCACTAGACAGTGCCCCAGTAGAGACTCTGTGTAGGGGCTCCAACTCCACATTTCCCTTCTGCACTGCCCTAGCAGAGATTGTCCATGAGGGCTCTGCCCCTGCAGCAAACTTCTACCTGGACATCCAAGCATTTCCATACATCCTGTGAAATCTAGACTGAGGTTCCTAAACCTCAATTCTTGACTTCTGTGCACCCGCAGGCTCAACACCATGTGAAAGCTGCCGAGGCTTGGGCTTCCACCCTCTGAAGCAACAGACTGAGGGGTACCTTGGCCCCTTTTAGTCATGGCTGGAGTGGCTGGGACGAAGGGCACCAAGTCCCTAGACTGCACACAGCAGAGGGACCCTGGGTGCAGCCTAAGAAACCATTTTTTCCTCCTAAACTTCTAGATCTGTGATGGGAGGGGCTGCTGCAAAGGTCTCTGACGTGCCCTGGAGACATTTTCCCCACCGTCTTGGTGATTAACATTCGGCTCCTCGTTACTTATGCAGATTTCTGCAGCCAGCTTGAATTTCTCCTCAGAAAATGGGATTTTCTTTTCTATCGCATTGTCAGGCTGCACATTTTCTGAACTTTTATGCTCTGTTTCCCCTTTTAAAACTGAATGCCTTTAACAGCACCCAAGTCACCTCTTGAATGCTTTGCTGCTTAGAAGTTTTTTCTGCCAGATACCCTAAATCATCTCTTTCAAGTTCAAAGTTCCATAGGGCTCTAGGGCAGAGTCAAAATGCCACCAGTCTCTTTGCTAAAAAGTAACAAGAGTCATCTTTGCTCCAGTTCCCAACAAATTCCTCGTCTCCATCGGAGACCACCTCAGCCTGACCTTATTGTTCATCTGACTATCAGCATTTTTCTCAAAGCCATTTAACAAATCTCTAGGAAGTTCTGAACTTTTCCACATTTTTCTGTCTTCTTCTGAGCCCTCCAAACTGTTTCAACCTCTGCCTATTACCCAGTTCCAAAGTCACTTCCACGTTTTGGGGTGTCTTTTCAGCAACATTCCATTCTACTGGTACCAATTTACTATATTAGTCTGTTTTCACGCTGCTAGTAAGGACATACCTGAGACTGGACAGTTCACAAAGGAAAGAGGTTTAATGGAGAACTCACAGTTCCACATGGCTGGGGAAGCCTCACAATCATGGCAGAAGGAAAGAAGGAGCAAGTCACATCTTACAAGCAAAAGAGAGCTTAACAAGCAAAGAGAGAGCTTGTGCAGGGAAACTCCCATTTTTAGACCCATCAGATCTCGTGATACTTATTCACTATCACGAGAACAGCACAGGAAAGACCTGCCCCATGATTTAATTACCTCTCACCAGGTCCCTCCCACAATACATGGGAATTCAAGATGAGATTTGGATGGGGACACAGCCAAACCATATCACAGGGTCTCTCCATGTTGCCCAGGCTGGTCTTCAGCTCCTGGCCTCAAGCCTCAAGTGATCCTCCTGCCTCAGCCTCCTAAAGTACTGGGATAACAAGTGTAAGCCACCAAGCTCAGACTCGATTCCCTTTTCCCTCCCTGCTGTGCCCTTCATTCCACAAGATTGAGGTGAGACATGTTGGCCCCCAGGAGTGGTTTCTGTCCACCCTATCCCCACCTGCGGCACCCTGCCCCAGACCCCCTGCGCCCCTGCAGCTCCCAGCGATTCTTCCCATCAATGTACTGTCGTTACCAAAGGAAACCCGCTGTGCATCCCTTCACTTTTTCCTTTAGTTGTTCAACACGCCTTCGAGTTTGCTCCCTGCCAGGCTCCGTGCCAAAGGCTAGGGACGTCAGGATGCTGGCAGCCGTGGTCCTTGCCCTTGGGAAACTCGCTTCCATGGGTAAAGACAGATGGCTACCAAGGACTCTAATGGGTTCAAAAATGCATGTGTCATGAGAGAATTCTAAATGAAGTGCTACAGGAGATGAGGGCAGAGGGAGAGAGCTGTTTCCTCCTGGAAGGACTGAGGAAGGCTTTGGAGAAAAGGTACATGGTCTGCAGGGGTAGAAGAGTTGCCAGGATCCAGCAGAGAGCAGGAGGCAGAGGGATAGCTCACCAGCCGGAGGGTACTGCATAGGCAGTAGTAGCACAGGAGTGGGAAGGGACTCCACACACCCAGACTAGTCAGCTGGGCTTTCGGACTGCAGTAGGGGGTGAAGACAGACGTTGGAACCTGGTCCTGGAGGGCCTGAACGCACGCTGCCAAAGTGGAGCTTTGTTCTTAGGTAATGGGGAGCCATGGAATATATTTGAGCAGAAGAATGACTTGATTATTGTCCTTCGACATGTCTAAAAAGCCAATGAAGTCAAGTAGCTGCTAAGTGAGGCTACAGCGTGAAGCAAGTCTCCTCGGTGGCCCTGGGCCTAATCGTCTCAAGAAAGTCCATTCCCTTCTGTGGCAGCGTCTGCCCCTGCGTGTGCACGGTGAGGCCCTGGCCCAGCTCGCAGCCCACGGCTCCCATGATGACCCTCTTGTCCTCTCTTGGGGTTCAGCTGCATCCTTAATATTGGGGAGGGTATTCTGGGTGGGTTCTTTTTGTTGTCTCAAAGTATTTAATATATCTTATTGTGCATTTATACAATTAGTATAATTACATCTAATTGCATAATTAGCGTGAACATATGCGATGACTTAAATAGATAG